AGGGACAGTGCTACGACAGTTGCTGAGGCTCAGAGGAGGGTGGATGCCGAGATTGCGCGGCTGACTGAGAAGCAGGAGGGGGAGGTCAGTCAGATCAGTGTGGGGGAATATATGCACATGGTCAACTACATGTGTTGGCAAATTTTGGGAAATTATCGTTGGTTTTCGTAGACTTCTACCCAAAGTCCTGCGTGGATTTCCATAATGTAGCGAGGAAACTTACACGAGCTCAGTTGAGGAAACCAATCATATATTCCAAGACTGGGTTGGGAGGGGACTGATCATACTGGTCCTCCAGTTGCAGTGCAGGTTTTAGCGGTCAAACAGCGGCTTGTGGAACTCCACTCTAGGGAGATCGAGGGGCTCAGGGTAGGGTGCATCGCGGCGTTGTATGTGTGAATCGGTGTGAACTGGGTAGGCTCAGCTGGACATGGCTGAATCAGCTCGATTGCAAGCCTCGCGGAGAGCTGAGGAGTTGGAGGCAACTTGTGATGAGTTGAAGGTAGACAGTTTCTTTATGACGTATAGAGGAGGAGTTTGCAGGTTGCACACGCTCGCTCTACTGCGGCTCTCCAGCGTGAGCTCGTTGAGGCTCAAGGCATGCTGCAGTTGCAAGTGAGTGGATCGACGTAGGATAGGGTTAATACTCCCTCGCTGACAGAGATTTGAAACGGAACGCGCGACCAATCTTGCCGAGGACCGAGCAGCTGTTGTGGAGGAGATGCAACAAGAGTGTAAAGTTCTGAGGAGCAAAGTTGAAGTAAGTGGAAAACTTCCCAGCGGTAGCATATAAACTGTTGTCAGTTGTTGCGGACGGAACTGGACGAGGAGCGAGCGTCCAAAGTAAGGGAGCTGAGCTCAGTGCGAGGCGAGATCGCGGTGTTGCGGGAAAGGCTGAGCTCGTATGAAAAAATGGAGGAAGATATGACTATGGCAGTTCAAGCAGCTATCTCTCTGGAATCGACATGTGAAAGTGGCATGGTTGTTGTCAGTGTTGGTTATGGGGAGGTTGGCAGGCACACCGGGTGGTGACACGGGTGGAAACGACGCAGTGATTTCGGAGGTGTTGGGGTCGATCCCAGTGACTTCTCGCAGGAGGGTCAAGGAGAACCTCCTCCTCACAAGGCGCTTGCAGGACCTCACGGCTCAGCTAACCAGTTACAAGCAAAAATACGAAACGGCGTAATGACGCTAGTGATGATGACCCTGTCGTGCCCTTATTGTGGGATAGTTTACAACATATTTCGTTTCTGTGTAATCGTATGGCAAATTTCACATTTTGTCATCAAAGGAGTTTCACCAGTGATATGGAAAACACAAATGAAAATTATAGTTGACAATCATTGCATACCACGAATATCGCGCTTTTCACTGAGTATTACGCCACTTGACGTAAAACGGGTGAAACTCAAATAAATAGTATGACTAAATATATAGATGGAGTTTCACCCGTTTTACGTGAAGTGGCGTAGTACTCTGCGAAAAAGGCGATATTCGCGGTATGCAGTAGTCGTGAAATATGTTTTTCGCACTTGTGTTTTTCATACTATGGGTGAAATCGTAGTATTTCTTATTATTGCCTCAGGACAAGGGAGGCTGATGCTCTTCGAGAAGAACTGGAAGTGTCCACGAAAAGGCTAGGGGAAGCTTCTAGACCGCAACAATACATCGCCGAAAGTCTTAAGTATGGAGGGAATCACTCGCAGATGTTTCCTCATCTGGTGGACTTCAGAAATCGCGATCTCGAGATTGCGAAGTATCGGGCACGGCTAGGGGAGGCGGAGGAGGAGGTGAGCTGCGATGTACCCAAACATTCCACATGGTTTTCTTCATATGAGATATCGAAGTTACACAAGGAGCTCGAGGGCTCACGAGAGAAGATTGCCGAGGTGGAAGGGGATATACGTCGGTTGCTGTCTCTGAGGAGCAAAGGAAGCCACAAGCACTCGATGAAAACCGCGTTGCCTGGGGGAGCTCGTTCGCTCGCCTCAACTATTGCCACAATGCGATCCACTTTGCCTATGAATGTTCAAAACAATTTTCCAGTGATACTGGAACCGTCGGGCATGCAGTAATTTGCGACTACTTTCTGGCAGCGATATACTGTGTTGATTCTTTACGGTGACTCCATGTATTTGACAGTTGCATTGTAGCCTCCTGGATGGCGAGCCGCACGAGTAGCATTACCGCACTGGAGTCTGCGTATCGCAGAATGGGCCGTGGGGCTGCGAACATTGATGCAATTGTTGACCATCTCAGACGTCTCCGAACAGATGACTTGGTGTACGGCCTCAACAGGCTAGGTTCTGCTGCTGGGGGATGTCGAGGAAAGGAGGGATTTTGGGAGGCGGCCACGATCGAGCTCCGAGGACGACTAAATGAGATGGTATTAACTCGAGGGAGTCGCTCAGCTTGGACAAAAAATATCCACCAGATGAAAATGTCCCTAATATGCAAATTCGAAAGGAAACTGTTGGCAAAATATGCTTTTTCGCATGTGGGAAATTGGAAATGAGTTCCTTCCTGGATGAATCGTTAGTATTAGTTGCAGTCTGAGAGAGATTAGCAATTGCTTGTTTATTCAGACCCCAACACATCTGGGCCTCGCAGCTAGCCTTCTCTCGAGTTTGCCTTCTATCGATCATTCTATTAGGAAAGAGGTTCTATCGGCCGTAGCGATGAGAATGATGACAGGGAGCACTGCGAAGGGCAGTCAAGCAGTAGAACTCAAAGATTTGTCAAGGTGTCTCCACGCGGTTGCCAAGTAATAGGCTCATGCCATGGTAGCGATCGCCTCGTATGTAGCTTCGCTTCAGGAATGGCGATAGCAACGGGATAGGGAAATTGGTTGGCGTCAATCTGGAATCGGTCTCATATGGGAACGCTCAGGACTGTGCTATGGCTGCAGGGGCTCTAGCCAAGGCTGGAAGCAGCGTGGAAACTCGCCGACTTATGGCCAAACTTGCCCGGAGGAGCGTTGAAGTCTCGGAAGACTTCACACCTCAGGGAATTGCTATGCTTTGTAATGCGTATGCCAAGGCCGGCGTTAGGGAAGGGGAATCCCTTATACGTTTCTTGGTACCGAATATTGTCCTCAAGGCTGCTGAGTTCACTGGAGTCGACTGTGCAATCGTTTTGAATGCCTTCGCGCGGCTGAAAATCAAGGACGGGCCCGCCCTGCAGCGCCTCAGGGAGAGAGTGACGGAGCTCTTGAGAGAGAACCATGGCGGTGGTAGTAGTCTAAGTCGAGTTGCGACACAGTCACTCAACGCCATGGCGAAATTGAATTATATCGATGCCGATTTTGTACGAGCTATACTCGTTTGGTGCGAGAGGGAGTCCACTGATATTGCCAGATGGAGCCCGCAAGACATGTCCCTTTTTTGTCATGGTATCGTCCGGGTCGGTGGTCGCCCCTCGAAGGAGCTCATATCCCGCTTAGCAGAGACGGCTTCCTCTCGAATAAGCGAGTTTGACGGTCAGGCTATCTGTCTGGTCTGGGGGGCACTGGCTGATCTCGAGGTGCCTCTCTCACTCGTGCGTAACGTGTTTGAAGTTGGCTCCAGGCGTTTAGCTGAATGTCGAAGTAAGTCAGCTAAGGACGCTGTTTATAGTCTGCATGCTATGGCCAAGGTTGGTTACTATGACTGGGCCTTCCTTGAAACAGTGGTGGTTGGGTCCTTATCTGGTAGAATGGGAGCTCTCGTGAAGCATAGCCAGCTCATTGCAATGCTGTCGCCCGACATCGCCACGTATTTGACTGGGGGTCAGCCCACTGAGAGGCAGAGGGTCGTGGCGGAGGAATTCCTGATGAAGTTGGTGGAGTTGTTACAGAGCGAGCCGGGCCTTATGGAAAAAGATCTCACGAGTGGTCAGTTGGCGATGTTCCTTCTTGGTTTGGCTAGATGCAACCATAGCAAGGCAGTGGAATTTGCCAGCGGAGTGGTACCGTTAATAGCGTCAAAAATGGCCCCTGTCAGCGGTGACACAAGGCCGTTGGCTGTTGTACTCACCGCGCTAGCATTGCTTGACTTCACTCCCCAGAAGGCGCTACTAGACCTCTTGGGCAAGGCCTATTGGGAAAGGGTGGATTGGTTGGGAGATTCAGTGCAGCAAATAGACCCGTGTCTCAATGCCCTTGTACGGCTAGACTTGGTTCACCGAGCTATGCCGCTTTGGAGAGGATTGCTGAAGTCGCGTATTAATTCCGCGAAGGGTCATAGCTCTATTGCAGCGGGTGGTGAGAAACTTGCCATCGCGGCTCATGCCGTCTCAATGGCGACCGGCGTGCTCCCGAGAGTATTCATGGGGGCATTGGTGCATCTCGATGAGGTCGGCTGTAGGCAAGTACTCGGGGCCCTCCTCGGTTCTGGGGTTAGGAACCTCGACGCGCTGCCCTTGGCAACGCTACGAGACCTGATCAAAGCGGAGGCTGGTACGCCTCGATCGGGTAATGGTAGGATCCACTCTGAAGTTGGGACGGTATTGGAGCTGCAGATGGGCCTGCCAGTCGTGAGCGAGACTGTGGTGGCCGACCTTTTCCTCGTAGACTTGCTAATTGACGTTTCTGATTATGTTGATGTTTCATGACCCGAGGCAGAGTTTGGTTCATGTCAGTTAGTTGCGAAGAACTTTTAGAAAGAAACTTCGAATTAATACGAAATGAAAGTCGTCTCGTTGGGAATCTGGAGCTCCACACTTCTTTGGTCCGGCTCGCTTTGCTTCACAAGCTTCCAACTCGATCTCATGCGGATTTCGATGAAACCTCGGTGTAGTAACGCATGCCAAATACATCCTCTTACGTATTGACGATCGAATACCAGTGGAAATGTACTTCAAGCTGGATACATGAAGATGTCGTACAGCCATCGAGGTTGATGATAATAACAACAAAGAAGTCACCAGTATTCATAGGGATCTCAAACTCCAGGGAAATCGTTCACGACTATGGGGGCCGACAGACTCACACGATCGTGTTTAGGATGACAAAACATGTTCGCGTATCAGTTGGTCAATATCCGAGTTATGTGTAATAAACAGATAATTTTGCGATTCGTTGTTATAGACGATTTTTACGATTATTGAATCGAAACTCCTCGAAGGTAACTTGAATTGGTAGAAATGTACGAAAGCCCATTATGCACAAACTTCTGAATGGTGAACGACTCGTGCAAAAAGTATTCCGAAGCAGAACAGGTTTCCTGTTACATCCTTATGGAAGTTTGCTATAAGAATCTCATGTACCCGATGCTATCTAATGCATGCGTAATATACGTGTCCAGTACAAAGTGGAATTTGCTAGTGTTCCACATTATGAGGCTGGACTTCCAATGTGTCATGACCCGAAGTGTACTTCCAACTTGCCATGACTTCGGTTGTAGATTCCAACTTGGAGTTAGTCAACTTCAAGTGACTTAACACTGGCCAGATGAACGGAAACTTTCGATCAGCACACAGTGAGGGGGAATAGCAATTAGCATATCAACCCATCGTCGACACTCTCATCTCCATCTTCGGCCTCTTGAGCAGTGGAAGTCATACTCACCGTGGGGTCCCTCGGTTGTTCCAATCCCAACGGTTCTTTAAATGCAGCGCTTCTTGATGTGAGGCTCAAACTGACCGATCCTGATTCCGACGGGCTTTGCTCTGATCTGAGAACAGACCATCGAAATGAGCACCGCGGCATCGGGGAGTATTACCTCCTCGACGACTGGTCGAGATATGATCCATCTTGGGCTGCGGAAAGGTAGTCTTCCCTGAAGGGGACGCCGCTCTTGCGAAGTTCTACTTCGACTGCTAAGCTTTGCTATAAACAATCTCCGTACTGGAGCTGAGTCTATCGTGGCAGTATATATCGACATCTTACTAATAATGCATGTTTCCAGTGGCCGATCGGGATTTGGCAGCGCATCGATAACGATAAGCGTGAATTCCTCACAGCATCGATTACGCACCGGCTCCATGCAATTTGAGTCTTATATTGAAAATTTTAGCCTTGAAGTCGTTCTGTCGTATTTACAGTCTCTAGATGGTGTGTACTGCACTTACAATTGCTGGTCTTTCTCTTTCCATCCAGGAGGCAACAGCGACTGATACGCAGGTGTGGCATCGAGAACTTTGCTGAGCGTCAAATTATGCTTCTTCACATACCTGCATGCGACATCCATCAGTGACACTCTATTCGTAGTAGTAGTACGCATAATAAGCATAGTAAGGATGCTCAGGTGACAAGAAAGGAACATAGGCCTCCATTGCTGGGTTCAGTCGGCATGCAATCTCGGTCTGTTCTCCGTGAATTCTCATGAACCTACTGTTGCCATATTATCTGTGTCAACTGATACCGGTGATATCAGTTCCGGTTCACCTTGCCGTATGATGTATGACTAGTAGTTCCCGAACAGTGACTCCCTCTGGCCTCGGAGGAACCGATACCACCCCCTCAGCACATTGTGGGGGTTCGAGGAAAACAGGTAGGTAAGGCCCTACGGGTTTCTTACTCGCCATAGAGCCTCATGCAACTATTCACCGATAAGTGTCACCATCACTGACACCACTGTGCGTTAACACAATATCAAAATAACGAGAGGAGCAGGGAAAGTGTCTTGAGAGGTAAATGTCAACTCATTCCCCATCAATAATGATAGCAACTGTATAGTTACGGGGCCTAAACTATCGAGCTTCTCTTAACATTCCATGCAGTGGAGGCTCATTTAGTTGCCGGCCTTGGCCTTGGGCAGTCGAGTACCAAGAATCCTGTTGAGCTTGCTGATGATGGCTCCGTTAGGGATAGCCTTGCCAGACTCATACCTGAGCATAATAGATGAATATGGTTGCAAGTTGGGACCCGTACTCATTAATGACGGTGGGCTTCTCGTTGATTGCCTTAGCAAGATCAGCTTGACTCATCTTCTTAGCCAACCTGGCCTGCTGAAGGGCGTGTCGGAACTCAGTGCTGATATGAGGATGCTTGTACACCTATAACCACAAGACAATGAAAACACCTAAGTGTTCGTGCCACTATCCTACAGCGTTGTCCTGATCGAGCTTGGCAGCGTTGGCAGGAAGTCCCTCCTTGGTACTCATGTTCTGTCCACCACGCCACTTAGCGGTCACTTCAACGTCTTGACCAGTCCTGAACCGACCAAGGGTAAATAGAGAACAGCATGGGATCTAAGTTGGTCATCACCTCCTGGCGTCGTTTACTGCAGTCCTGCTCGCTGGGTTCTTCGGCCGACCCTTGTTGAGAACCACAGGGTTCCAGTCCTGCGACACATCAGCTGCCATACGAACCATTTTATTGAGATATAAAGCTTATGTTCAACTGCAAAGATCCATTGAGTTCTTCGGGTGGTTATATGTCTCTAAGCTATCCATTTGTTTTAGCGCGCGCCATTTCGAGATTTCGCACAGGTCCCCGGATCTATCCCTGGCAGCGGTCATTTTCTATTTCGTCTGGTAGTATAGAACCGATCTCGCGAGTAAAACTGATGATCATGCTCCATGGGATTCGATCCGACTTGGGAGGCCCTCACTATCACTAGTTATCATAATAAGAACGAGTTGGGTTCCCGTCGAGATATAGTCGTTGGACTTTGTGGGAAGGGCAGCCCGTTGTAACTCCGGAACCTCTTGTTCCGCTAGAGATACGTGATACATCACTCCCCACTTCCTCAATACTCAAGTCATTACCGCTAATAGATGCATAATCACAGCAGAGTAGTAGAGACATAAGGGGAAAAGATGCAATGATCAATGGCGTGACGCCCTTCTCCTTGGTGTTGCCATCGGACGGAGCGATGCGCACAATACCACGAGCGAAGAAGAGGATGATTCCTAATATTGTGTGATGAGTATCCTTAGGCTATAACTGAGCTATGTAGCTTCGAGTGCTAGCTTGTAGCATAGGTTTGATTATAGATAAGTATAAGTTCTTGTCTTGTTCGGATCCAAGGATCTCTACTTGATTATCTGCTTCTACTACTAAGCTACCTTGGAGTTGGGTTATCACTTGGAAACCTCTCTCTATCTCCAACAATCATCCGAGAATGAATTTCGAGACCGACGCCTTATCTGATACTATGATGGAATCTGAGCGTGCTCAGCGTAGACTTCGCCGTAATGAGGTTACTGAGCGTATGATCGCTCAGAGTCATGATTTTGTTTCGATTGGTGATGAAACTGATGTTGCTGGTGTTGGTGATGACCAGCTAGGTGTAGCTACTGTGGTGAATTCTGGTTTGACTGAAGCTGGTGAACGTGTTAGTGCTTCTAACCAGGATTATGTTTCTCATGCTCATAATCTTCCTGATCCTCCCCACACCACTGACGATCCTTCAAGGGGTGACTCATCTGGCCGAGGTAGACCGGTGAATGGGCGGAATAATCAGCGTTTGCCACCTCGTGTTGCTCCTCGAGTTCCTCATTCTTCGAGAAACTCTCGTTTAGAGCCAGTGAACAGTAGCTTTGCGACTGATATTGGTATGGCTCAGGTTATTTCTACCTTGGTGTCTCAGGTTGGGACGCTTGCGACCACTGTACAAGGCCTATCTCCGATCACTATCAAGAATGGGTCATATGGGTCCTCTGCTGATGCGTTGGCTCGCAAGGAAGCAAGAGCAGAGCTAGCTGTTGCTCGTTTCCCGGTGTTTGTGGGAAACCATCGATATAAGGGTAGTGGCCCATGTTGTACTACCATCAGAGGTCATTTGGCATCGTTTGACCGCTTGCTTCGTATGAATTCTATAAAAGCTGGATCTCGAGTTTCGTATTTTATGCTGCTATATTCCCTGGATGATCCTGTCCGTGCCCGACTAGATGCAGTAGTCGCTCAGTCGGGGTTATCGACGGAGTCGGTTGTTGAACCTGATGATGGTATTGACTTTGCAAACAAGTATTATTCGCTTCGTAAGTCCCTCTTATCCTGTTACTTAGACGCTATTGAGATCACGCGCCTTCGAAGAGAATGGCATAGTTTGGAGATGAAACCACAACAGCCCTTCTCCGAGT